TCTAACAAACACAAAAGTGGCCCCCCCCCTTTCCCCCCCTGCAGTTTTGCTGAAAAAAAAAAAAAAAAAAAAACACCCTTCCATTACATCAACCTTAGCAACCGTAAAAACATTCAAAAGGCCAGATGGATCTCTTCCAGATTAACACTGTTTTGCTTTCCCCAGTACAGAGGGGAGCTTTTCCCTCCCTCTTTCCTGGTTTTGAAACATTTGCTTCTTGTTATTTGTAATGATTGCAGAAAAGAGAGTCAAGTTTTTTCCTCATATGTCATGTCAGTGTATGTTATCATATTCAGATGTTTCAACTTTTCTCTACTTTCAATTTGCTAAAAGGTTATGTCATTACAGATTTGGACAATAATACCTCTGTTTTTTCTTTGTTTCTTCTGCCAGATTGTGTACTGACAGAAAAATGTGGCTGTCTCAGCCTTTACTCTCTCTACCCTTAAGATTACTGAAGCGCTATCAGTAACAAGATGACAGATCCATCTTGTTTGATTTGACTCTCCCGAGTGGTCAGCACAGGTGTTATGTAAAGTTTGGACAGCTACTGGGGTTATTTTGGTATGTTTAGTGTTTGCAGTATGTTGCTAGGATGTTAGTTTATTTCCATCCAGATTGAGTTGCACTTTTTATTTTCAACCTACCTATATCACTGTCATTGTTTTATGTTTCAATTTTAGTGCTTGGATATACACAACATGCTGTACGGTCCTCAGCACAAGAAATCCAAAGCAGTCCAAAAAGCTGTGAACATGTTGTCAAGGTAACTCCTGGAGACGAAGATTAATTTGCTGCTACACTGTGTTCAATTTTAAGACATTTCAGTGTTGGAAATAAAGATGATTAAAGGGCATATATCATCATGTTTTCAACTTTCGTTTTTAGCTATGTTCAGTCATTAAGCTCTCAGCTCTCAATGGTATAGTTGATCTCCAAAATCAAGAACATTTTTAAAAAGCGTGAGAGGAAAAACAGCTATCTCATGGCAGCCAAGTACGCAGTTCCCTGTTCTGACCAGCATTATTTCTTTGGTGTGCATGGATGTGCAACAGCCCTCCCATTTCTTCACTTTCTTTTCCCAAGATTAGCTTAGACATCAAAGTGTGAACATTTCTTAACAAAGTACCAAATATTTAATGGGGTGTCCAAGTTTTTAACATGACTATATGATAATGCCTTCTTTAGTAGGCATGAACTTTTCTCATTTTAAAAAAATTCAACTTTAAAAAAGTTCATGTTTTAAAGTGGACATGTCATGGTTTTCAGTCATTCCTTTTCACTTGTAAATCATTTACTTATGGTCTATATAAAGTAGTGTGAATTCCTCGTTATTGTAGCTCCACGGACCCTTCGTTTACCCCTTTTCTGAGGTGCGTTTTAGTCAGCTAATTTTTTCTGTGATTTTTAAAAAAAATGAGAATGAGACATTTCACGTGCCGCACTTCTATTCACTCAAAGCACACAAAAAAAATTGCTTAAGGGCTGAAAAGTGGATTATTTTGCTTGATTTGTTCCCTTTAAGGTTTTCTGACTCTAAAGTATGGTGTTATATACCCTTTAATATTAATAATTTTATGTTAGTGTATCAACTATGTAATGTTTGCTTTTCAGGGCACCTGAAGTGGTTAAGAGACAACAGCAAAGAAGAAGACAAACAAAATTAGACACATTTCCAGTAATACCATCCAGTGGTGAAAATGATAACTCTACATTTGATGCTTGACATCTCATTCTTCTCCACTTCTTTACCTTTTTACAAGGTTAAAATGGTACCCCTAAAGGTTTGAGCCAGTAGATAATACCATTTTTTGTATTTTGTTAATTAAGATTTAATTTGCTATTATTATGTAAGCAATTAGTTTGTCTAGCCTACTATGTGAATTTACTGAAAAACAATACACACAAAACATTCCAACAATAGATATATTTTAATATTGTTAAGATATTCATCAATGAAATGCAGAAAGCCCCATCAGCCAAAGCAGTTGTGTCATCTGTTTATCAGAAATCAATAAAATGAAATACATATCATTTTGTTTGTTCCACATTCATTAAACATTGACTAATATCCTCTTTATAAATCAATAGATTTTCCATATATTAATCTTGGTGAATAAAATGTGTTGGCACATGGTATCCAGATACCAGTTTGCATGAAGATGTATTCCAAATTTATAAATGTTAATGGAGAAAAGATCAGAAAATATGTGGAAACCTGATGTATCTGGGCACTTAAACGCAACAAATCTTTCTTTGTGAAGAGCTCTAACAGATAAGTGTGTTTATGCTAAACATCTCATGTCTGTGCTACATATCATAATGACAAATTGCGATTTTGTGAATGAATTGCTGCATAAAGTGTAATAATCAAACATGCTGAAAATGTCTGAAACAAATAAACAGACTGAATGCATTGCACACTAATTCTGCCTCGGTAAACAGCACACAAGACAACAACCCCTTGTGAACACTCAATGCCACTAAGCTGATGATCCAAAAATAGTCCTGAATACGCTTAGGTCAGAGCAAAACTGAATTCGTCATGCCAACACCGTGATACCTAACATAAATGCACAAACATACACAACATGCTTCACAACCATATTATCACCATTAGTGAATCATTCAAATTTTTGAATGTATCCTGCTTCTTCTAATTATTGCCTTCATTTATATGCAAATAAACTTATTTAAAGTTATTGACTAAGGATTTCAACTTGATCCCATCATCTTATGTGAATCTTGAATATTTGTCGTCAATCCAATAATTCACAGCAGTGTGAAATAACGTGAATATATTGTTAAAACAAACAACTTTTCTCTGTTTGCAAATTATATCTGTTGCTCAAAACACATTTTACTTCCTAAAACATACATAATTTCTTATTAGTAATGAAAAACGTGAAATCCTAACTCAATCCAAAATATCCAGTAATTTTATTTTAAATGAAACCTATGTCCTCAGAATGTAACATCTACTAACATCACTCCATTTTGGTAAGGTGCTCAAGGCACAAGCAGTCCCAATCTGCAAACGGTGCACAGCACCCATAACTCCCAGTGCCGTGTTGGTCTGTAATGAGTGTTGATCCAAAAGATTCAACAATATGGCACATGATGACTGAGTTAGTGGTCTGCTGTAAACTGTGGAATAGGCTTTTAAAAGCTCCACAAAGAAGTTTAATACCAAAAAAATACAAAGTGTATAAGCCAAGCTGCATGAAAGTAAAAATGAAGTCAATACAAAGATTGTAACCAACATCCACATTTGTCATGATAGATTGACTGGGGTTTGTAGTTCTAATGTCATCTTGTCCGCATTAGTATGTCTTTGTTAAAGCATCTGTTAGCAGTGCTACTGCCATGTTGCATAAAGCTTATATATACATTTTTACACTTTCTTAAAAAAAAAGAATCCCGGTAAGTCTTATAAGGGCCTTTCAAGGTAAACTGTTGCAACTCTTTTTTCAGTAGAAAACTTCTCTGGGTTTTCGAAGAGTTGGGACTGCTCTGAGCTCTCCTCACCATGGTCACCCTGCTCCTCCATCTGGAATGTGAATGACTTTTCTGATGGTTCTAGTTTTATGTGTTTCTCAATTATTTTAGATGCAGATTCCTCTATGCTGCCAAAGCCTTCAAAGCCCTCAGCATATGCAACCCCCTCTTCTTTGGACACTCTGATGCTGTACCCTGAACCTGCTCCTCCTTGGAAGGCCTTTTCAAGATCCAGGTTGGAAGATTTGAGAGCTTTCATTATCTGCTCTTCGGAAATATCATCTCCTTCCTCCAACAGCCCAGAGTCTTCAAGGGTTTGTGAGACATTTAGCTCTGCAACTATAGTCATAGTTCCATTACCACTTGACTGCTCGACTTTTTTGATTGCCACATTTTCTGGACTTTCGCTGCTCACTTTTGTGAGGAAAGCCAACTCTTCCCTCAGGGGACCAGAGACTGAGCTCTGTAGTGTCTCCAAGGCTCCCTTCAGCTGCTCTTTGGGTTCCAAAGAATCCTCTCTCAGGAACTCAAGCATGGATTCTTGCACTATAGGCGATACCCGGACTTCTTCTTCAATTATGCACTCTGGAAAACTTTCCTTGGGGGACGAGTGATTGCTTGACTTGTACTTGTATTCCTCACTTTCCTCGACTATCACTTTTCTCTGGGGAAGACTTTCATCTTGGTAATATCTCTCATCAGACAGATCATCTACAATGCCATAATGGCCATATGACATTATTCCTCCACCATCCTCAGGTTCAGAAAGGTTTTCATCTGGTGTGGACACAAAGTACTCATGAAACTCCTGCTCCTGCTCACAGGAGACGTTAGGAGACTTGTTTTCTCTAGAGAACTCCTGAACATGCACAGATCCACCACTGGGCTGGTCTGCGCCTCTTTTGGAGGCTACTGTGGCATTATCGTCACTCTTATCTTCTTCATATTCGTGAGTTACATTTTCCATCTCCTCAATTTGGAAATATCTTGAGGGCTCATAAGAACTTGATGTTCTTTTTATTTCAGCTTCAAGCTCCTCATCACTGAAAGACTCAATGGGCTCCTCAATAATTTCCACATTGACTGACTTATTTTCCATGTTTTCTCCCCCTTGAAGACTACTTAGAAGGTTTTTAATCATGGTTCCTGTTGCTGTATCTTCTATGTCCTCCAATGATACCTTCTTCACACCCTGGCTCAGGAATTCCTCCAGGGCAGAGTCCTCGGAAACATCCATCTCTTCTTCGAATTTGGACTCCAGCACAATCTGTGTCTTAGTGGTGCCATCTTCCTGTTCACTTTTCTCCACATGATACCTGACTTTCGAGTCTCCCGATGAACATGCCTTGGCTTCTAAACCTGCAGGTTTGATCACTTTCTCAATAATCTCTTCGACAGATACAGAGTCCAGTATCTTTTTTTCAATTATAGGTTCTGCCTTCTCTTTGTCTTTTAACTCATCTTGAGCATAACTTTTCTCTTTCTCATTGGACACCTGCCTTTTGCTTTCTGTGACAGTTTGAGCAATACTTTTTGCTGGGGGCGACACCACTCTTACCGACTTTGTCTCTGGTGAAAAACTGGCTTTGCTTTCATAAGGGAGCTGTTTGAATCTCATGGTTTTCTCCTCTGCTACCGTTTTCTGTGCAGGCTTACTTATTTTGTTTTTATCCTGGCCAATTTCGGTACTGGTAGTAGGCACAGAAGTGGCAGCCCGAGCTTTGTTGAACGAGATCATATCCCTTCTGGATGCTGGACTCTGATGCCGAGCCCTTCCTGCAACTGAAATGGGAATGACCCTGGAGGGACTTATGGAGCCAGAAGAGGTCACAGGTGGTCTTCTCAGGTTTGTTGGTGATGCATACCGCGTATCTATATGTCTTCTTGAGGTTAAGGTTGAAGTTCTTGGAGAGTAATGTTGGGCAGGCACCTTGATATCTAAGCCAGAAAAGAAATAATTGTAAATAATTCCTGCATTAACTATGTTGCATGCAATCTCATTTATCACAGTAAAACATTGATAAAAGGTAATAATATTTTTGCTGCAAATATTTTATTGGCGCTATACCTATTATTCTCTCTCTTTGATGTTGGGTCATCCTCCTGTTAGCACCTTGCATACCAACTCTTTCACTTTCCAGGAGAGTCCTGAATAAAGACAAGAATAAATATCTTACATGAGTGCAAACAATATCAATGAGAGATGTCAAGGTCTTCTTCAGGGTTATGAAATGAACTTCAGGATGAATACCTCACAAGGTGATGCACATGATTCAGGTCTGCCATTTCATTCCCCTCAAACTGAATTCAAGACTTACAGGACGGCATGTATCCTGAACCTGACCATATAAGGTAGTAATCATAAAACTATGATGTTAAGCCAATGTTATTTAAAATGTTTAAAAAAAAACGAAGACATATTGTATTTAGCTGAAACGACTTACCTTTCCTTGGCCACGCTTCAGGAGTTAGCTAACCAAAGTGTCTCTGAAAAGAACGACCTCTCTGGAGCTTGCCTTTCAATAGACTGACCTAAAAATAACGACTACAATGTTTGGCTGTCCATGCTCTACGCTATAAATCCCACAGCAAAAGCTGACTCGTGACACTTACAGAAACACATGGTGCTGTTGCCACATCTTCAAGGGAGTGTTGTATTATCCAAATGTTTTATACAGACTAGACCTCAGAGATCCATATAAAGTCATAATGACAGAGTGGACGGAGTGTAATTATTAATCTTGGGAAGGCATTATTTGTAATGTATCAATATAAATTAGGTAATTATATCACAGGAAAAAGTCATAAGCATTTGAACAAGAACAGCTGAATATCTATAGAAATACACTTCTCGCCCCTTTGTTAGATATTCCTGTTCAACTGCTTGTTAACATAAGTGTCTAATCATTAAATTACAAGGCAACAGCTTAGTGGATTTTGGCTTTTATATGTGGTGAAGATACAAATGTTCACCATTGATTGAAAAAAAAATGAGTCTGACTTTCAGCTGAGACATTAAATTGTTTGGGTTCGACTTTGGTGTAAACAACATTAACACATTTTGTTCTGCTATGCATTAATGTTTTGAGCTGGTGGTGGTGTGACGGTGAGGGAGATGTTCACTTGGCACAATGTAAGCCCCTTCTTTCCATTTGAGAATTGTTTTAACACCATGGGATACCTATATCCTGTTGCTCTATCTAACAAAGTTTAGTCCTGGTTTCTAGAACATGACAATGAATTGACTTTACTCCAGTGGTCTCCACAGTCAGCACATGTCAGTTCGGTTCAGCACCTTTGGAATGTGATGGAATAGGAGATGCACATATCCAGCCATCCACCCAGTCATTATCCAACTTGCATATACCATGTGGGGTGGTGAGGGATGCTGGTGCCTATCTCGAGCAGTCAACGTGTGAGAGGCCGGGTACATCCTGGACAGGTCGCCTGTCCATCTCACGGGAGATGCACAAAATGACTGACAAATTCAATGTTCATTTGAAAATTAAATTGTCAGTATGAACCAGTGCCACTGGAAAAGTTTTGACCCATAAATCAGTCGGTTGCACAAAGAAGGTTCTTTTTAGAGTGTCTAGAGGTCCAGAAATACAATTTTAGATTTTCAGGTGAATACAAATTATAACCATGCATACTTATGGACTGGCCTGGTAACTGGAGAAAAAAAAAAAAAAAGATGGAAAATGTGAAGTCTGCACTAAAAGGGCTTCTAGCTACAAGGCAATGATGGTAACCATCTTTCCAGCAGGAAGTCCCCTCTGAGTCATTTGTTTATGCAGGCTGGCCAAATCTGTGGTCCAATGAGGGTGAAACTTAAAGTAAAAACCTTTTTTTTTTTTTCTAAAGTCTTGATTAACCCAAAATTTACTCTCTAAAGAGAGAGAGAATGTACTCTCTCTAAAGAGAGTACATTTTTTTGAACTGGGTTTATATTCACATGTATTTTTACTCCAAATTATATTTGGATCTGAAAAAAATCTTACCTGAAGGAGTCATTTGTTCAACAACAGTTTTACTTTTTACATAGTCATTTTTTATAACGATTGCATTACTTAACCCTTTTTTTTATTATAACCTGCTTTGCTTAGTCATAGAAAAAAAAAAATCTGGTCTGTAACCTGGTCTTTTTTATTAGTGAAAAATCAAAATGTTGAAATAAAAAAGACTCTTCTACTCAGTGTGAATATTTACACAAAGTCATTATTTGTTTAGAATTTGAGAACAGAATTTAAAGCAAAGCGATTCATCACCTGTATGTTGCCACCTCCATGCCTAGATCCATTTTCACTTGGAGAAGGTGCTGATGTTCCCTCATTTTCTCTTCCATAGCCTCAGCCAGAATGTTTCTCTCATGTTCCAGCTGCTCAATAATTAACTGAAAGAAAACGAAAAAATAAAGTTTTCACCATTTTAGTTTTTAATTATATTATTAAAATCTTTTCATGCTGATCTATGTTGCAATCCATTTCATGCAAAAACATATCAGAACACAGTGATTTAATCATCTGAAAACTGGATTTATGGTTTTATTCTTATTTTTGTTGCGCTGAAATTCATTTGTTGCTGCAATACTGTGACTTATTCACAGTATGGCCATCATGTTTAAGTCCCCATCACCTTTGGGAGGCTAGTAAGGATTTGTCAGCCTGACAGCTAATTGTTTAAGTGGCTGAAGTCATTTAGCAACAGTAAAGTGCTTGTGAGGAAGATTGTCTCTCTGCATTTAAAGCCTTTTACCAAGGTCAAATGTTACATGCAGGATCCATTTTTTTTGTAGATATTTTAGCTCAAACTTAAATTAAATCTGATATTTAGTCTCTGAAACATGCACTTAGCTTTGGTTATGCTTTTCCTATATATAGGTTTGGTTATGCATTTCTTATATTTGAGACAATTATTTTCAGAGTTATTCAGGCTTTAGACTCTCACTTATGCATGATTTATTTGTTGCAGGCACTGAAAGCTGCAGCTGCATCAGAGCCATTATGGACTGTGGGTGTGGCTGAGGGACCATGCAGTCTCACCCCTCTCCCCTGGCTCGTCGGAATAATCAGCAGATTGTTCAGTTTGAAGTCTTTGAAACTGTATATTGTAATTTATTTATTTATTTTTTTGGGCGATTTTAACAAATAACGCATGTCAATCTTGTTGATAAATGCTTTTTGCAGTTTAGTAACAGACCAACTCACCTGGTGTTCGCTTAAATCCACTCGGAATTTGTCCTGCATGTGCATGAGCTCCTCTTCCAGGCGCATTTGAACCTGGCCCTGTTTTTCCGCCTCCGTGCGCAGTTTGCCCAGCTCGGATGCGTACAGCATCTTCTCCTTCTGTAGGTCGCAAAGCCTCGCCTGGTCCGCTTTGATCGACTGCTCCATCTCCTCCACTTTCTGTTGGTACATTTCAAACGTCTCTATCCATCCCTCGGACAGCCCGCGGGCGTACTCCTGCACCTCCTCCACGGAAACCACCGGGGGCCCGTGGTAAGTTTGCGTGATGATGGGCACTACCCGAGACTCCACCTGATGCCGGAGCTTGGCCGTCTCATGCCTGTGCGCGTCCTCTAAGCGCTTGTACTCGCTCTCCAGTTGAAGAAGCCGCTGCTGCAGGTCGCTGTTAATTTTGTGCGCCTGCTGCAGCTCCTGCTCGCAGCCCTTCAGCTCGCCGCTGATGTCCCTGCACGCCTCGGTCTGCTCGCTGCACAGAGACCGGACCGTCTGCAACTCTCGCCATAGCTTCTCCCTCTCCATCTCCGCCTGGGACTTCTCGAAGGAGATCTGCCCCACCATTCTCCTCAGATCCTTCATATCTGCTTTGTACCTCTGCTCCCATTCGGCCGTCCCGCTGCCGCGCTTCAGTTTGTTAATTTCAGCTATAAGATGCGCGTTTTCTTGCTCCAGCTGCTTGGTCCTGGATAGATACTGAGCAAGTCTGCTGTTCAGCTCTTGCAGTTGCTGTTTTTCGCGGTCAAAAGTTCTCTTGAAAGGAAGCATTCTGATCTGTTATAATTAAAATTTTATTTCAAAAAATACTGCGTGCAGATGGATTATTTGCGTGTGCGTCGGAGGGCTGAAGTGTGATGTAATTTGCGATCGGTGCCCTTTGACAAGTGCAGGAGGAGAAGGAGGGCGGGTCCTGAACGCATCACAGTCACAGGAGCGTCCCAAGCTCTATGGAACGCCTCGGGCTGTGGCCATGGCAGATGTTACGCTGCGTTCACGTGCAGTCAGAAATATGTACAAACAGTTGAAGCGTTTTAATTACCGTGTTGCAGAAAATGTGTCATAGAGCTAATTACATTTTAATGAATACGTGTGCCTTCTCCTATTCCTTATGATTGCAGTACTATCCAAGTCATTTGCAATATAGCATTTCTTTTCTTTCTATGTTTAATCAATAGCATCAGTGTAGTTTTTGTTGTGCCTGATTTGCGTCAAATGTTAAATGTTTCAATAAATTAAAAATCTTTTGTTGGCAATTCTAGTAGATAGTTTTTTTTTCTTTTTTCACAATTTTGGATGTAACAGTAGGGAAAAATACATTCACATATAACTTTCGTAAAGTACTGTTAAGATAAATTGTGAGGAATGTTTTGTTTTTTTTTGGTAACGTTTTAATAAACATCAACTTCTCTGATTGTTCAAGTGATTCTGAATTTAAAATAATTTTGTGATAGTGGACATTTAAAAAAAACTAAGTATATTACTAAATGTCTGAGTAACGTTCTATCACTTTGCATTTCGGTCTATTTGTAGTCTCCCCAGGCTCCTTTTGTCATTAGTTTACCTGGAGCACATGAACGCACCACTTCTAATAGCTTCAGTTATTTTATGGAACGGCTCCTCCTGGCGGACGCATCGTAAATTACAAAAGGCACAAACGTTTTTCCCTCTGTTTACTCGACTTGCTACCCTCTATTAGCTTGGATACGCCATGAGCGAAAGAGAACTTGTTGTTGTTACAGGTAAAATAAGAATTTGCTCAATGATATGTACACTCTTCATACTTTTTAAAAACACGTGTTGAATACACTTTGAAGGGTTTGGACCGTTCAGACAGTTCTTGGTGAACCCCAGCTGGATAACAGCCCAGGTGAGGTCCAATGTTTGGAAAACACAGTCCTGTTTACCGCTCTGGTTAATTTTAGCTGTGCGCTTCGTTTACCACAGGGATTAAAGTTGGCCGGGATGGGACGGCACATCGATGTTTACATCAAGGAGCTGCCAGTTAGCTACAGTTCAACCCAGAGGATTATTGCTGAGCTTTGGCAGACCCTTAGACCGAAGGTAGAAATAAAAAATTGGGTTTAACACACCTAAAAAACCTAATAGAAATCATCATGCAAAGCATTCAAAATGGTAGTCTGTACTACTTTTGTTTGTTTGTTTTTTTGTTTTTGTTAATATAAAAGGATAAAGGAATAGATTAGTTGTTGGCATTATTTGCCTTGTTATTTTGCTCCTTAGGGTAACCACAATATGCCTATGAAATAAGACATGATATAACTGTGTGTAATTTTTGCTACAGAATCTATAGAGAATGCACATTTTTGAAACACAAAAAGGTGAATCTTGTTTGCATGCTTGTGTTCCCAGTTTGCTGTTCACCTGGGCATAGCCAGAGGTTCCAGTCTTGTCATTTTGGAGCAAACCGGTAAGAACAGCGGGTACAGCACCCGAGACGTTTGCAGCTTCTGTCCCACAGATCACCGCTGCATCGAAGGTGGCCCAGAGAAACTGGACTCTGTTGTTAATATGAGGGCCATCTCCAAGCACTTTAAGCAAGCAGGGATGGATGTGGTTCATTCTAGAGATGCTGGCAGGTAGGCAGCCAGCCCTTCTTCTGATCTGCATTAACAGATGCAAGTATAAGGTCGTGCTTTCTTCTTTACAGATACTTGTGTGATTTTGCTTATTACTGCTCACTGTATCATGGTGAGAGGAGAGCAGCTTTCATCCATATACCCTCATCTGGCAGCTTATCCTCGGCTGGCAGACTGGTACCTCTTTTGCAGGAAATAATTGTCATGATGCTTGATCAGCTGGAAGAAGTCAAATGTCATTCGGAAACATAGGTAGGTTTTCACTCGGCATGCCTTGAACTTCACTATTGTCACGTTACAACTATACTGTGGGGTAATTCACTGAGGTTTGAAATGAAAGGTTAACAAAAAAAAAAAATCTGTGAACTTTATTACTGAAATTTCACCACAGTATTGATTTAATTAAGCTCGGGGCCATTTAAGGGAGACTTCTCACTACATGAATATGCTTTGATCTAAACTCGTATCTTTTTAGCTCAGTCTCAAGTATTTTACATCCACCTTTAGGTTTTCTTCCAAGATTGTCCTGTACGTAGAAAAATTAAACAAACAAGCATAGTTCTCATTTACTTATTTATTCAAAATTTCGGAAAAAGGTAAAATACAAGAAATTCTCTTATACACATTTTTGAGACGGCTTGTCAAAAATACACCATCTCAGCTATAAGTGTGAAAAACAACTTTGAGGCCTCAGATACAGAGCTTGAAAAGAAGACAGAGACTAGAGAAAACAGTTTGATTATTCTTCCCCTGTCAAGTTATGAACACACAGAATTTAATAAGTGTAGTAGCAGTAGAAGACCAAGGCCCCTCCGAAGGTTTTAGGAATGCAGATGAAATAAAACAAAAACAGACATGAGTGAATCGATACACCTCAAACCTAATTATTGCAGGAGACTGCTGTGATGCCTTCTCCATAAACCTGACATTTTTTTTATGAAAATATTGAAAGAATGTGAGTATGATTATGCTTACAGTCTACAGTAAATTAAAGAGCGACTTGTGAAACTTTAAATTATCTTTTTCTAACTACGCTGTTCACTTGTTACCTGAACTACCCGTAATTTATGCAACATCCCTGTCCTGGCTCTGTCCATGTTGGAAATGCTGCACATTTGACAGGTTTGGGATCTAATAGTAACTGGTAGCTCATCCCTTAGCAGGTCAGTGACTGCTAAGAACTGAAAAACAAAAAAATATATATATTTAACGATTTCTGGACAAACATAAACACACAGATATGTTAACGTCTTGAACTTTTTTGCTTGTCAGTGGTGGTTTCTGTAAAGAAATTCAGCAGCAACTTGGCTCTTTAAAAAACATGAAAAGATTGTTCAGTTGCATGATTAAGAGGACTGAGCACCAAACTTTTACATTAAAAGTTACCTTGTGGGTAACTTCTAATTTGAAAAAAAAGGAAAAGAAAAAAAAAAAAAAACTTTCCTCCAAGTCCATCAATATGCCAATGGCCATGAGTAAAACGTGCAGCTGAGGCTTTGAAAGAGGTTTTGAGGTGTTGGAGCTGCTTCGCTTCCTTGTACAGATAACATTTTTGGTGATGCTGTAAGATCCACTGTGGTGACTAAACTGGCAGCACTAAAAGTGGTGTGTGTGTATGTATAGATACAGTGGAAACACAACCCCTGTTAAGATGCCTGCTTATATGTACAAAGTGAAATCATGATAAACCATGTCAGAACGTTTTCCTCCTTTAATGTACCACAAACTTGGAAAAACAAACCAAAAATCTTTGAGAGAAGAGCACAAAAGAGTTTCCAGGGTTTTAGATATTCCACGCAGCACAGTTCAAAGAGTCAACATCAGGTTGAGAAATTGGGGCGTAACAATGACATTACCAGAAACTGGACAACATGCGAAGTTAGCGGAAAGACGAGAAGAAAACTGGTCAGGAAGTCTGGCAAGTTCTGACTGTGTAGCATGTGAGATGACGGTCTCCTGTGTTCTTTACGTGTCTAGGATATGGAGTAGAGAGACAAACTGGAATCCAATCCGATTTAGCAAAAACACATTTGACATTTCCCAAACCCATGACATGAAAATGTGTTGCAGCTCAACAAAACCAGTGTTTAATTTTTTTTTTGGGGGGGCTATCTATTTCCAAAGGTGTTGAGAACAAACAAGGCACCTTAGTAAAAACATTAAAAAAAAAAACTTATACACACAGTGATTCAAAACGGTGGTAGCGTCATGCCTTGAAGCTAAGATCGAATGGTCCAATACAACATAGTTTAATGGGGACACATTTACGTTACAACAGTGTTTTGAGTGGGTCACATCAGAGAGGGTCAAAACTCTGAAATGGTTTATCTTGGTCCAACTCGTGAACATGTCAGAAATCTGGCATTTTACCAGCGGTGTGTAAACGTTTTATATCCACTGTAATGTCTGAAAGATCAAAACTAAGAAAATCACATGGATGCAACATTTCTAATCGATACATGACAAAGAACCACATGGAGTTTACAGAAACGATAAAACTAAATAGTGGCTTTTTAGCTCTCTGCCACATATAATTGAAAAGTGTTTTTTTGTTTTTTAATGGTTGCAGAAGGTAGAAACGGGTACAAGGTGAGATTTTCCTTTTTCTTAGATGCTTTGTGTGAAAACTACATATCTGTCCTTGTTACATTCACAACACTTATCGATACTTCAGGCAAAAATTAAATGCTGTCGGTTTTGGAATAAAGTAAAGGTTTTAAAATGGCATTTCACCTGCAAGTAGAACCATATATATATATATATATATATATATATATATATATATATATATATATATATATATACACTACATTTTTTATATATATAAAAAATGTAGTGTGTTTTTTATTCTTGGAGGTAAGTAATGCATTTCCCTTTCTTAATATTTCCTGTGTCATCTTTTTAAGGTTTCTTCATAAATACATTTTCGATGAGATTCTGATGGTTGTGGTTTGAGGATTTGAAGGTTGTGACAATAGGTCGGAACTCAGTGGAGATGGAATGTTTGGCTCTGTTTCATCACATACTGATCCACGCTGGTTGTTTATGATGCAGCTGAAAAACGATGACGTTTTGTCAGCCCTGTGGTGTCTTTATTCTAAATTCGAGATAGAAACCTGCTTTTTTCGTAAAACCAGTCATGTGGGCACTCACGAGCCGAACTCATTCCACCTTCTGTCCCAGTCTGCTTTGTATGAGGTTTTATCTAGATCACTTTTTAAAAATTTAACTAGGTGAGATTTCTCCTAAAATTTAAGAGTGAGATGTATTTGTTTTTGCTTATACACATATTTAAAAAGAGTGAGGTAGATATATGCCTGAATGAAAAAAAACCAAACAAACAAAAAAAAAAACAACAAGTACCCTCGCCATGACATCAAGGACAATGCATACATAAAATAATAAAAATATTAAACCAAGTTTGTACTTACTTATGGGGCATTTTTACAGTGATTTTTACTGGTATTCAAAAGGAAAATACAACAATAAATAAATAAACACTCCCACAAGGAAAATAAGTTTAAGAGGAGAAAAAAAAAATAAAAAAGAAAATCACCAGGCAACATTAGAAATCCTTCAACACACTTTTTTTTTTTTACTATTCAGCCATTTTAAGACCTTTTATTTTCAATCATGACATTGAAACTTGTTCCCTTCCCTGGACTTTAACCCATCCTTTATTTGGCTTTCAGATGTGGCTTTTTGAAATCTCATCTTGAAATTTTGATACTAGCAGGAGCGATGTCATTTTGTGCTTGAGAGGATAAAATGAAAATTGCAAGCTTTAAATGCTTAGAATATGTGGTTGACATATTTAAGGCAAACAAGAGAACCCAGTTAGCCCTATTTACTGGAGATTAGGCATGAGATGGATGGGTTTACCAAACCAGATCTGGTCTGAAGTGCCGTCTTGTATGTCGGAGCTAATCCTGACTTTGAAAGGAGGCACAGGGAGGGGAGGTTTGCTGTTGGAGGCCAGCAAAGGGGAGGGAAGAGGAAACTGTTTCGCTTTAGAAAACATGAGCGGGGTGACTTAGGAGGGAGCAAAAGGTGAGGCAAGTAAAGGAGAGGAGAATGTGTGGGGAAAGCAAAGCCTTTACTTTAACCTGAGATTAAATCGTACCTAGGAGGCAACACTAGGCACAGTGCTAAACAATAGTAATAGAAAAAAAACAAAGGGTGCAGAAGTACAAGCTCACACATCGAGCTAACATGTTCATCTCTAATAATAATATATAATTGACAAAACAACAAGAGACATAGTCATTAAAAAAAAAGGCAATGAATGAAATTTAGTGTTACTCAAAATCTTGAGGGGTAACTTTCTCTTTTATTTTTTATTTTTTTTTGTTTTAAACAGAGCTTAAAGATATAAAAAGGGACTGCTGTGGAGATCATAAAATAGCAAACCTGAAGGATTTCTCTATATATAGATATATTTATATATATAACATCCAAAAAGAGAAAAAAGAATAAAATAGCAGCTTTGTTCTGTACAGACATAGAGGCAAACATTTTTAAAAGTATAAAAAAAGTTTTATTTTATTTTAATTTTTTTAAAAGTGACAAAACCCAATGATGTGTATAAAAATGATCCTGCAGTCTAAAATGCAACTGTAAGACCTTTCCTTTGTGTTTGAAATGTAAGACAAACCAATAATGACCCTTTTTAGAGACTTGAACGTTTGCCTCTACGCTACTAAATCTGATCCAACAGCCTCTCGATTGATGCCTCCAGTTTGTTGCTGTGGTTTTGATGCCACCGGATCTGAACAGTGTTCATCTCAAAACTTTGAGAAAGTAAAGCAGGGCGACAAGCTGGGTGGTCAGCTCTAGAGGACCAATGATTTGCACTGAAACATATTTCAAACCGAAGAATAGACTGAGATAGCAATTCAGAGTTGCTGTTTTTTGGATCAAACATATGTGAAAAGGGATTTTCCTGAGGTGGAACAAATTTTTAATTGTTATGGATATTATTAAGCCCAAAGAAAATAAAAAATCTATTTTATATTATACACTAATCAAAATGCTACAAGAACTTCTTATTTTTTTTTATTCTGAACTCAAGAACTGTAGGTACTATTGGTAGTTGAATGTCATTAATAAATTATAATCATATTTTCAAATGTTTTATAACATGATTTGAGTGCATCTGTACCATGCTGATATGTTATATTTTTTGGTTCATTCTGTGAGAAACCACAAGTGCTGTTTATATTAATTTCTTAAAATTCAGCCAAACTGGGCAATTCTGTCTTATTACTGAGTTTCAGCCATAATAATTTTGGGGCTCATCTGTGATTGGTTTTTGAACCAAATGTTTAATTGATTAGGCTTAAGTGGTTTCTGGTCATTCTTGGGACTGGATGATAAATATGTTTTTCCCCTAATGCAGATCAAATCCCTTACTCAGATCTCCCCCGGCCATAAAAAAAAAAAAAAAAAACTCTTTAGCATCCAGACAGAGGTAAAAACAATAGCCCAATAATTTAGTTTTCCGTGACAGATGCTAAATTAACAAATAAATTGGTTTGCAAATGAAAACAGTCCTGCATCATGGACTTTTAGAGAAGTGATACACTTGAAACAACTCTGACATTTTGTCATCCTGGACGAGAGAGCCATCAGCTCATTGGCACAAAAGCTGCTCATGTTTTGTTAAAAGCTACATTCTGGCTAATGATCTTGCAAAAGTGGAAAGACTAGTGGAGGGCTGCAGCACAAAGATCCGTCAAGGTACCATGTCTTGATGGGAGTGTCTACAAAGCTAAAACACTTACAACAGTAGGCAGCCAGCAAACAGAGAGTAGCTTTACGTGACCTTTCTCAATACCAGAATTAACGATAAAGTGTTAGGAACTTGATGCCTTTATGAAACAGCCTTTTTATATTCTGCCGTCTCTTAGCCTGTCTCAGGTGTAAATATAATGCTAAACATTGATTGCATAACCAGTTTTTAGACAGATTGTACTGTATTGTTAATTTTAAACCCTACAGAGTAACTTGTAATTAATTTTCCCATATTTTCCATTTATTTCCCATGTATTTAAATTGCTGATGTTTGCTCTCTCATGCTGTACATACAGTAGTTTGTTCAGATATTTTGTTTAGTAGTTAAAAATGTTGCAATCTTGTCAGCTCTCAGTGGTAACAGGGATTTGTATTTTCCCTGTAATATCAGTTATCATGTTTGTTGCAAAAATAGTTCCCAGTCAATTATAATCTTGTCAAAATGAGACCCAAATAGCATCTTAACCTTTGGAGCCAGACTCGTTAAAAGTAATTTCTAATGCTGGATTAAGTGAGAGGACAGCTGCAACTTTTATTATCCTGACAAATCTGAGTTGTGGTTTGTCACTGAAGTCAGAGGTTGAATGTAATTAGAGTGATTAAGGAATGACTTTACATGTCTCGCTATGTAATGCTATGAATCCTAAATATATCGAAATATTTTTACATTGCCTCACCCAGCTCCGTGTCTTATGTTTTATGCTTCAAATATGGATTTTTAAAACCTTAATCTACTTTTTGTTGAATTAATATGGAAGGATAAAATATTTTTTATGTAGCAGTTGCTCAGAACTAAAAATCAATTTTATTGTTTGCTTAATGAACTGTTTTTCAATGCATACATTGCGGTTGTTATTTTTAAAAAATAGGATTGATTGGAATGAATACTGTACTGTAGTTTTAGTATCAATGTGTGCTTTTGAGGATCTGACTGTATGCAGTAACAGATTTACAGCCAAAATGATTTATTTATTATCAACTTTTATCGCTATCAACATAAATAGCACAACATAGTGCGATCAAATCCAAAGTCTGCATTCTCCAATCACAATGTTGTGGCTGCTCATGACTTGACAGTCACGTTTTTAAGTAGAGTCTTGTAGCTGGTATTGTGTTTGGGCTGGCTTCTGCTTATGATGCGTTATTTGACCCAGCATAATCTGGTAACCCTTGCATTTAAATTTAGTAAAAACATTCTAAGTTGTATGGCAAGTAATTTATTTTTTTCTTTATTGCACAGGAGGATTTGATTTATCATTAACTCCGAATCACAGTCTTGAACAAAAAAGAGGACACCCTTAGGAGACTGAAGGAAAAGTTTGATTTGGCAAAAGTTTGGCAGATACAAAACAGGCCTACCAATTTAACCCACACCTGACAGGATCACGTAGAAAATAATAATATTTAAGAGTCTTATTTTTAAAGGAGATGTTGCCACACAACATGAACCCGGCTGGCTCACAAAAAGGAGGAGCTTTACCGTAATGTAGAGAGAATGATGGGATTCTATAAATAGACGCTCAATATATTCATCACATCCTCTCTGAAATCCTCAGGACAAAAGTGCTCTTCTGTTGGTTTTGCTGGCAGATATGCTAAAAAGATTTATTTTTCTTGAGTTCATGTAGAAGTCTGTGTGCCAATATACATCCTTATGTTGTTTTCCTCCTCGAAGGGCTTGTATGTAACAATGTAGGCCGCACAGGAAGGAGCCCCCCAATGTGTCTGAGCCACCAAACTCCACGTGCCTCAGCAGGTTTCTGTGCTGTCTTACCGTTTTCAGAGTTTGTGTTCTCTGGTCGTTGCACAACTTAAATGGAGTGGAGAGACTGGCAACACAGTAGAAACAAAGTAATTTTCTTACCTCGCCCCAACTCTCCTGAAGAGACTGAGAGGTTTTAGTTACCCTGTGCGAGAGGAAGAGGAGATGCTGGACTGATATCAGCAGGCCGACGACTGGGGCAGCGGTAACGCCCGCTCGTTCTTTCTGCCTCCATTCATGTGTGCGTACGGCTCCAACTCGTCAAAGTTGGGCCGCAGGACCACCACAGGCCCGTTGGCCAAAGCATGTCCTGAGTGCTTGTCCGAGCCCTGTCCCGAAGACGTCATGGCCGAGGACAGAGGCCCGGGTGGCGAATGGGACACAGATCCTAGTAAGGGAGTACTTGGGCCTTGCAAGGGGGACAACTGCTGCGAGGAAGGAGGTGACCTGCTTCCCATGCACCCAGTCGGGGGAACGCCAGCAGCTGATGGTTGCCTGGTAGACACAGGGTCCAGTGGAATGTTCTCCATGTTCTCCACCTCCATGTCGAGCTCCTCCATGTCCGGCGGCTTGTTCTCCTCACTGTAGAAGAAGCTCACCTCCTGGAAGTGGGGATCCAGATCCCCTTTGATGCTGCTGATGATCTCCAGGAAGGACGGACGCATCTTGGGGTTGTACTGCCAGCACATCCTCATCAGCTCAAACCTGAGGGGAGCACAGCGTATGAATGCCATGGCGATTAAAAAGAATTTGCTCTTTAAATTTTGAACTTTTTTAAAGAAAAAAACAAAAAATCTGAGCCGTATGTTTTATTTTGGCCCTGATAACACCACTTTGGATTTTTGAAAACTGATAGATTATAATATTCTGTTTGGCCAATCAAAATTATTTCAAAAGTGGATAGATGACTTTTCTGCTGCAGCACTTTAACAACTTGCTGTAATTGATGGAACCAAGAACTCTTCTCTCAGCTCTTTCTGCCAAGTTATTTGGTTCAGGGGTGCAATTATTTTTATATTGTACCAGGCTGGTTTGAATAGCTTTTTTCATCCCAGGAAAAAAAAAAAAAACTGCATTTATTACTTGTTTACTTGGATTCTCTTGACTGATAGTCAAAAACCAATAGACATCTGTGACAAAAAACAACAAGAAAAGGAGTCTGTAATGTTTTCAAAGCGCTGTTAAGCACAGCCAAAATGAATGTATTGTCAGGGTTTAACATCCACCTTGTGCTTTAAAAGTGGCTGAAATAAGTAATGTGCCCCTGAGAAGTAAATTTTCAATCAAAGTTAAGATTCATTTTGCCCTCTGACAGTCAAAGCAGGAAGAAATGTGAACGAGTGCAGCTTTATGGAGAATTAGGCCAAATTAAAATGCACTACATGTGTACAAAGAGAACAGAAAAGTGAAAACAGATTTAAAGAACTTTACAAAAAGCAAGGTTATTAATGCTGCACTATAAAATAAGATTCCTAAATTACACTCCAGTGTCAGAATCCAAAATTTTATGCAAAAAACTGAATAACGAGACTGAGTAAGTTGATGCATAGAATTTTTTTATATAGAGAACTACTTGTGCTGCAATGGTTTAAGCAATTTGGAGGCATGCCTAGATGCAGCGTTTAATCATTGTAAGTCTGTTTCTCACCAGCAGGTGGCAGGAGAGACTGACATTTCTGAGATTTTGTGCTCTTTTGACATTTAAGCTCAGTTTGCTGATGTATTTTGACTTTCAAGTTGTGTACAAGCAAAATATTAAAGTTATAAATTATAGTAACAAGTTATAGATTTACATAAATAGGCTTAGCTGCTGTCTTTCCATCTTCTTCTACAGGTGTGAATACAAAAAGCATCTCCCATCTGTTATAAATCTGCCCTTTTTTAATTCACTCAAATGCTTCAAATATGTTCATGACTATGTCTCCTCTCCCATAATGTCTAGTTTTCTAACAAAGACTAATCTTTGGTGCAGAGGCGTATTGACACTGCTTGTAAATTTAGAAGTTAACTTTATGGCCGCTTCAAAGATTTGCCATTTTGATGTTTTTCTACCACAGCACAATGCGTGCAGTTAGATCCGTTATGTAAAATCCACTCAGTGGAGCAGTAAGTCTTCCTTCAGGTTACTGTGCCAGGCCAGCAACCGAGCTTTGGGAATGTCAAAACAACACCATAAAAAGAGAGAATTATTACAGTTTTGTGTGGTTCTGCACCACATGCCGCAACTTCAATTATACACAAACAAGCTAAGAATACTCTCTAAGGCTCACTGACATAAACACCTCAGCCATCTCAGGCTCCGTTACCACTGTTCCCCCTCAGTCTTGTTTGTCTTCTCTCCTTGAGGTCTTCTTGGCGTTCAGAATCAGTCCTGCAGCTAGGTGCCAGCTGTTCTCCTCCCAGAGAAATTTGAGGTAGAGCTTGCCTAAGCCCAGGTCTAACTTCTTATTCTGGAGCAGCAGAGGGGGTGGCTGACTTTTTTTTTGTTGTTGTTTGTTTTTGCCAGAATTGCAGGAAGCATCTCAAAGTTGACATATGATGTCCAAACCCACGCAGAGGAGATTTTTAATGAAAAGAAATCTAATACTTTTGGCAGTGCTGACACACCACAGTAACCTGCCGTCTGCTTCGCCCAACATCTGGTGTCCAGCACACTTGTTGATGCTAATTTATAAAAGGGGTTTAAAAAGCTGACTTCTTGTCAGCATCTTGTCATTCGTGCTATTAGTGGAAACTCATTTCTAACCTGTCGTTAGAAATGAGTTGTTTCAATTGTGTATGCCATGTAAATATAGCCTCAGCTAGGCTACCTTATACTTTGCTGTTTACTCCTTCTGTCAATGTTTTGTTTAGCACTAGACTGGTGTCCATTACCATCCTGAAATTCCTCACCAGGGTTTATCAGTGCTCATCTCAGCCGGTGTCTAATTTCAGGCACTGGTCAAATAACACAGTGTCAGTGATGCAGATTTTAAACTGTTGTGACCAATAAGATGCCGAGTGTCGCATGAAAATACTGTGGAGGTATTGCACTTGGTGAGCCCATTCTATACATCACTGATTTTTCTTTTTTTTTTCCTCCTTTGTTCTTAGCTAATATAAATATGGGCCCTCTTCCAATCTGGTGGCCAGTTACTAAGAAAAATCAGTCACTCTATTGCATCATATTTATACATAGAAAGCTATGGATTGACAAATTTAATGTTTACTGCAGGGGTCCCCAAACTACGGCCCACGGGCCGAATCCGGCCCGCCTCCTCATTTGGTCCGGCCCCCTGAACAATACCAGAGAGCATTCAGTGTTTTTTTTCATATATATATGTGGATTTTTCTTCAACCACCAGGGGGGCTCTTGAGCAGATATGAAACTTAGTTTCCCTCAATGGAATATATACTAGTCAGTACCAGTCACCGTTTCGCTCACGGTTTTTTCCATTTGCATTCTGGGTAAAAATCTATCTACAAACGCGAATATGTCGTCGGCAGTAATCCAACCCCCCCCCCCCCCCTCCCCTCCACCCATCCTCCCCTCCCCCCCCACCCCCCCCACCC